TGCATTGAAAAATTCCTGCATGACCGTTAGAATCGGGCCAGATCAAGAACGGCCAGTGATCAATCCCGAATTAGTTAACCAATTTTTAAAAAATCGGCCTATCTTTTAAACATTGGTTTTGAATGCCCTATACTTATGACGTGTTAGTGAGAAAGTGGAGAGAGAGAGGGAAGAAATCTGTAAGTCAATTTCTTACGCACTCAATGAAGAAGATAAGCCTCCAATAGTGCGCTACCCTTATGTTGTGTGCGCTAGTATTTTTAAAAAGAGAATAAGTAGCTACTAATTCCTACTGTCACTTGAAGACCGAGGAGCAGAACAACCCCCCCGTCACAGTCAGATTTACGGGCTTTATATGCCCGAAAGTGTTGATAGTTTCGATTTTATAAATGTTTTCTTATTAGAATATTTTATGTATACTTGAAGGCTCGAATCAAGAGCTTTCGATCCCTTATAGAGGATTGAGGTAAATTGTAATGGGGATTGAAAGTTCTTAAAACTCCTCACGAACTCAAGTCTACGTAAAAGCCCTTTTGGTTCAATATATAAAATTAAAGGCAAATTTGGTTGTAGGGACAATGATATAGGGCCTAAAATGGGACCTATAAATCTAGTACAGACCATAGTTACCAGGCGTGGGAGCGTTGGAACGATGTCTGGCCAAAGCTTCGGAGCTCGGGGAGTGAGTTCTGGTGAGGGTAAAAGTAGAAGATCGAGATCCCGTATGAAGAGGGAGAGCGTTCCCAATACATCGAGATTGAGATCCCTATTTAACAGGAACACTTTCCATGTCAAATGGCATCGTATTCCCATATTCATTAGGATCGTGCTCCCATAAACAACATGACCACACCTCCATCTAAGAATGATCATGTTCCTATTTGGAGAGGATCGAGCTCCATTCAAGGAAGGATTGTGTTCTGTGCATATTAGTCCATGCTCCAATCACAGAACTCCACTTTATGAAAATTTGACTTAAACTATAATTATTTTATTTTAAAAATTAATTTTTTTTAAGAAGTTTGTTTTAGAATATTTTGGAAAAATAAGGATGGAGTTCCGAAAATGTAGGGATCGCTCTTAAAACTTTGGGAGCGAGGATGTAATTTATTCAGGACCAGATCCTAAAATTTAAAGAACGTGATCTGTGCAATATCGAGAGCGAGTTCTGTTCTGAACGGGATCGAGAATCATAAAAATTGGAACGAGCTCCCAAAAAGTAGGGAACGAGTTCCGATTGAGATCCCGGCTACAGAGACCCGGAACGGGAGCCCCACCCTAGTTGAGCGCTCCCAATAACTATCGTACAGACAACTCGTTTTCATAAACCTAAAATGGTGTAATAGTAGGTTTCTAAAGTCTTGAAAGGGATAAAGAAAGAGTCAATGTGAGGAGTTTCCAAGATTTGAGAATTACAGTATGCTTAGGAATTTAGTGGATTGTACGATGGGAATGGATTAGCTTTTAATATATGTTGGAAAGTTGAAAGACAAGTAGCATAGAAGGGGTTGGTCATTCCAATAGGGAGCTAATGTTTTATGTAATTTCACTTTTGCATTTTGCTGTAATGTTTTATCTAATTTCACTTTTGCATTTGCTGTAATATTAGGGTGAGCTTTGATTTTCTCTCTTTACATTCTCTCTTTGTGTGTTTCTATCATTAAGTTGCAATCTCTATTATGATGTAACTTTTAGACCAAATCTAACATATTCTAGTGAGTTTCATGTTTTTAAACTCTAAAATATTGTGACGAATTTACTAGGACACTCGCACTACTTTGCTTACATAATTAGCATTTCACAACATCATACCTAAATTACTCTTACATATTTATAAATATTCCAAAACAACCCATAAAATCTCTATAGTAGTAATATTACAAAACTCACTCAAACAAACACTAATGTTTAACATTGTCCGTACATAAAACCCCTTAAAAAAAACTAAATAAAACTAGTTAAATGTTTGCAATGGAAACTGGAGTACAAAATTGAAATAAAAAGACTGGGCAGAAAGGAGATGAGCCTAAAATCAGGAAAGTTGTAAGACGATGGGATAATGCCACATTTTTTTCATGGCCCGTATGTTTATTTTCCTTGATTGAGTCGCCCATGTGGAAACTAGTTTTAGAGATATTTATTTTACTTGATTGAGCCGCCCATGTGGAAACTAGTCACACTTTGTAATCGTCCTTATCCTCATGGCTTTATTCTGGTTTCCTGAATGGGACAAGAGTTGGTAGCCACACACTGTGAATTATTTCGGCATATAGGGTTTATGTGGCTCCCTCATCTTCAATGGCTGGGATCGAATCCCTTCCCCTCACAATAAGAAACCAAGAAACCACCGCATTCTAGAAGTGGGATTTGGAAAGCAACATTTTGGAAAAGTCTTTTGATTTTAGTTAGGGAGAGAGAAGCCATTCCAATAATGTGTAGGAATATGACTGGGGATGTAGCACTACATGAAAGGTATGAAGAGCGAGAATCTTATTAGAATAGGAATGTTATTGAATAAACCTAAAGTTCAAAAAAAATTCTTGGTTTTTGTGACTCAATCTAAGTCATTCAATTTGACATCCAATAAGTAGGAATAATTGTGATCTTGTTGCATAAAAAGTAAATGGTTACTGTGTATATAATCCCTACTAATAAGTGAAAAACACCTTAAAGTCTTTTGTACGATTTATAGTATGCCAAAAGCTTCTAATAGCCATTTAGTTTTTATAAATATTTTAAAACGGAAAAAATATCTCTATAGACCCCATTTTCAACTTTCATTTTTCCATTGACCCAAGGATGCAAAACCGATCTTACTACATAGAATTTCATTCTATTATATCTCCTAACCCACTAAAAATATTTTCTTCATTTTTTATTAATTCTTTTGACCCAAACAAATTTAAAAAAGACATTGTTTTTTAATCCTCTATCTCTTGACATGATTCCCTTTCTCTCTCCCCCAATCAACCTCCCAAACCGCACTCTCTCTATCTACCACCTCAAGCACCTCCTCCAAAACCTCCTCCAATGCCACCGCCAATCCCTTCGCCAGCACCAGCACGCCCACCGAAACCTCCTCCTAGTCCTCCACCATGATGCTTAAATCATTGGCCAAATGGACCATGCTTGTGGGCCAACAAGAAGTGCTTATCATCGATAACGCCATTGCTGACTTCAACAGCAAACACATTACTCACCACCACCAAAGCCACCACAAAAACCCCAGTTGAAATGGCAACGCCACCCCTCATCTCTATATGAGAATTCAAACTACACCCAAGGTTTCAAGTGATGAGAGAGAAAGAAAGTATTGCAGTATTTATAGAGAGAGAAAGCAGGGACTTTGTGTGTTCCTAAAACCAGTGGGTGTTCAAAGTGTTATTGCTTGTACTAGCGGTGGTAGGTTCATGCACTTTCATGTTTTCTGGGGCTCAAACCCTGACCCTCAACAACATTCAGAGAAGAAGGAGGCCCCAAAAACTCTTTCCCCCCTTTAATTACTCCATTGATGAAAGTTTGAACAACCAGCACCAATTCTTGACGACACGAATTAGAAAATGACCACAAATCCAAATCGACCCTGATCTAACCAAAATGATAATCATTTTCAAAGAACCTAGCTCAAGATCTCCATTAGCCGAGGCCAAACACTTGTTGACTGAGTCCAAAACCCTGAAAATTTCAAGGGGATTCTCTTCATTATCCGGTTCTTCCACTTCTCCACAGATCAAGCCATTGGGATCAACTTCTGAAGACATTCCAAAAAGAAGCTCGAAGTTTTATCTCTTTCTGTTACAATTAACTTTGAATAAACCCCCAAAGATCAATTTCAGAGAGAGAGAGATTCTGTTTTTTTCCGGTGAGAAATGTGTGTTTTCTAATGTGGGCTTTTTCGGAAAAGGAAGATGGAGGCAAAAGATGGTGAGCCCATTGTAGGTCGAGAGTAAGAGCAAGAGAGCAGCTAGAGAGAAGGTAACTAATAAGAAGAAGAGAGGGGTTATGAGCATGACGAGTCTAGAGAGAAACATGGGAGGAGACCGTTAGAAAAAAGGTGTCTTTTTTAATTTGTTTGAGTTAAAAATTGGAATAAAAATAGATAAAGTTATTTGGGGATTAGAAGATAGGTTTTGAAATTTTAGGTTTCGGAAGAAATGAAAGTTGAAAATGGGGTCTAAAGAGATATTTTCCCTTTTTAAAAAGGATTGTATGCAATGAGACCATTTATTGAAGTTTCTATAAGGCTTAGGCTTTACAAAAACAAAATAAAGCCTTACCCCAAATCCTCATTTGGAAAGCACTTTCCATATCGAAAATCTTCATGATGGCCCTAAAATCAATTTCCAATACCAAAAATAAAATTTGAAACTAAAAAAATGGTACAGATCTTACAAATTTGTAAACACTTATTTTTAGGGCGAAATGGATGGTCTAGATGATTTGTTGTAATATACACTAGTTTTAGAACTCGAAATCCTAATTTTCTTTCACAGCCATAATGTTCAAGCTGAGATGATCGATTTAAAGGTTTTTTTACACTTAAATTACAATTTTTGACGAGTTATGAGGTGAGGTTTTATTTATTTTGATAGGGTTGCCGCTCTATCTAACCATTTTCGTTTATCTATTGTACAAGGAGGTCACAATTGGTTATAACCATCCGATATGAAATTTTATAGTTTGAGTGTGCCACAAAGTTCGAGAGAATTTCTTTTGAACTTTGTGTTTGGTCAATGGAACAAATGCAATCACCTAATTTCATATCCATAGGTGAAGATTAATTGTGACCACCTTGTACAAAAAGTAAATGGTCTCATCGTATATTTTTCTTTTTAAAAATGTCAATCCAAATCCTGATCATGATTGATTTTCAGTAGAACCGATCTAGTTCCCTCAATATATCATGAACCAAGAGGTTCCATATAGGAACCAACCCGATAGAAGTAGCCGATCCAACCCTATTTTTTTTTTCCCCTCAAATTTTTGTTGTTTTGGGGTAGCTTGTTTAGGGTGGATTGCCCATCTGGATTGGCGATTAGCGACCTAGACCTGTTTCATGGCCTTGCTGATCCGGGTTTTTAAACATTGGCTTCCACTGATGCCACCCTAGATGCATGGTGCAGATCCCACCTCGTGTAATTTATAACAACCACTCGTTTGAGAAATATTTTCCCAAAAGGAATCAACCACTATTGAGATCAATTTCCTGATGGTCCTTATCCAAATCCTATACCTTGATTATCTATCCTCAGAGGTTTGAGCTCCAGGCCAACTATACAAAAGAGAACACAAGAAGTAAAGTGGTCCTCAATGATCAAAACATTTTCCATTGTTTCAGGGTAGAGAGTGTGAGAAATAACACCGGTGCTTATGCTGTCACTCCATGTTTGGGAATTCAAATAGAAGTCTAACCCCCACTTCCTCCACTCTTCTACCAGCCATCCCACTAATCAGGCTTCAATGAACCCTGCTGCGAAACCACAATCAACTAAGCTAAATCTCTCCTCTTTCCATCCCACTCATGGCCTCTTACATGGCCATCAACCTATGTTCACTACTTTGATTACCGGTCTCCTCTCCTTTCTACTCCTCTTACTCCTCTATCTCCACCATTCCAACAAGTCAGGCAGCAAAATGAAGCGACCACCTGGTCCTTCAGGTCTCCCCATCATCGGTAACCTCCACCAACTAGGTTCCTTGCCGCACCGCTCCCTAGCCCACCTTGCCAAGATCTATGGACCCTTCATGCACCTTCAATTGGGCCGAGTCAGCACTTTGGTAGTCTCCTCTCCAAAGATGGCCGAGCTGGCCATGAGGACCCATGACCATGCCTTGTGTAGCAGGCCCATCCGTGCGGCCACCAACCACCTTACCTACAACAGCACAGATGTGGCCTTTGCACCATATGGACCATATTGGCGCCACGTAAGGAAGATTTGCATCCTGGAGCTCCTCAGCTCAAAGAGGGTCCAGTCGTTCCGGAATGTGAGAAAAGAGGAAGTGGGGCGCCTCGTCGACTCGATCTTTGTATCCTCCAAAGCTAAAGCTCCTGTCAACTTGAGAGATGTGTTTCATTTTCTCACTAACAATGTGGTATGCAGAGTTGCACTTGGGAAGAGTTATTGGGAGGACGAGCCGGAGTTGAAGGAGATATTGAATTCTTCCCGGCCATTGACTAGTGGCTTCTTTGTCGGGGACTTCTTTCCATCATTGGAGTGGGTGAAATATTTGACAGGGTTTCAAAGGAGGTTGGAGAAAAACTTGAGGCAAAGGGATTCTTTCCTTGAGAGAGTAATCGCTGAGCACCTTCTTCCTACTCATAAGAAGGAGAAGAAGGACTTAGTGGATGTACTGCTAGAGCTCCAAAAAGAGGGCACCCCTGATTTCACTCTCTCTAGAGATAACATCAAGTCTGTTGTTATGGTAGGTAACAAATTGAGCATGCTTCACTGTTTACTGCATTTCACGATTCATCCCTTTCCCTCTCTACTATTTGAACTTTTATCTATTCCAATTATGCTTTATTCATCTCTTAGTCAAATGTTTAATAGTGTTGCTGATAAAAATGAAGCAATAAAATTGCCGCACTACTTCTTGGAATTTGATTTTTTATTGAATTTTCTGCAAGTGGTTTTAAAATTGAAATTTGGTACAAAAAAGAAAGAAGGGATAATGAATATTTTGAAATTATTCACCCATATAAATATATTTGGTAGTTCATCTGCAAGTTTCAACTCTACTTCTCAACTAAGAAGAAATAACAATATTTGCCAATTATAATTGACTTGCATCAATTTCAGCCAAAGTTAGGTTTTTAATTTCCACTCTCCACCATAACTACCGGGAGCGGGAGCGGCTTCGGTTCCGATTCCTGTTCCAAGAGCAGGAGCATTGAAACGATGTCTGCCCAAAGCTTCGGAGCTCGAGAAGCGAGTTCCGGTGAGGGTAAAAGCAGTGGATCGAGATCCTGTATGAAGAGGGAGTGCTTTCCCAATACATCGGGATCGAGATCCCTATTTAACAGGAACACGTTCCATATCAAATGAGATTGTGTTCTCATATTCATTAGGATTGTGCTCCTATCGACAATAGGATCGTGCCCCCATCTAAGAATGACCGTGTTTTTTTTTGGAATGGATCAAGTTCCACTCAAGGAAGGATCATGTTCTATGCATGATTAGTCCATGCTCCCATCGCAGAGCTCCATTTTTATGAAAATTTGGGTTAAATTGTTGAGGATCGATGTCTTGTATTATTAGGAAATAGATTTATCAAGGTGGAGTCAAAAGGACGACTCCGGAGGGCCGTTAACAGCCTAGGGGAGTGTCCGGCTAGGTAGAGTCGGTTGACTTGGCCACTATGGGAGTTTGGGGGTGGTAGGCCCCGAGGAAAATTTCAGATATCTGTACATGGGGTATTTCGGTAATTTGTACCATCTATTTGGGACTCAATATATATTGTTGCCATGTAGTTTTTTTTTAGGGTCAAGGGAAAAGACGTAGATCTCTTTGTAATAAGAGATAACAGAGAGGCGTGAGGAAGAGAGCTATTGTAACCCTATTCTCCATTGTCAATAAAGAAGTTCTCATATCCCGTGGACATAGACACGTTGCCGAACGACGTATATCTTTGTGTTGTGGTTGATTGTTTCTTTCTTTTGTGTTTGTTATTCTTTCTTGTTTTCGTGGATTGCTTTTCGTTTCTACAAATTATATCGAAATCCCTATTTAACGGAAACACTTTCTATATCAAATGAGATTGTGTTCCCATATTCATTAGGCTCGTGCTCCCATTGACAACAGGATCGCGCCCCCATCTAAGAATGATCGTGTTCTTATTTGGAAAGGATAGTGTTCCATTAAAGAAGGATCGCTTATGTGCGTGATTAGTCCATGCTCCCATTGCAGAGCTCCACTTTTATGAAAATTTGAGTTAAAATATAATTATTTTATTTTAAAAATTAATTTTATTTAAGAAGTTTCTTTTAGGATGTTTCGGGAAAATAGGGATGGAGTTTCGAAAATGTGGGAATCGCGCTCCTAAAACTCTGGGAGCGGCGATCTAATTTATTCAGGAACGAGATCATAAAATTTATGGAACGCGTTCCGTGCAGTATCTGGAGCGAGCTCTGTTGTGAACGGGATCGAAAATCTTAAAAATAGGAGCGAGCTCCCAAAAGTAGGGAACGAGTTCCGATCTAGATCCCGGCTACGGGGCGCCGGAGCTAGGTTTCGGAGCGGGAGTGCCACCCTAGTTGGACACTCCCGGTAACTATGCTCTCCACAGCTCTGTATTATCCTGTTCTATACTTCTAATAGTGACTAGAAAAGCATGTTATGTAACCACACATTCTCTATTTTGAGTCATCCAATTCATCAGCAAGCAAGCACCTTTAATGGCTGCCATATTCGTCACCATTGTTCATTATTAAATACCGTATTTGTGAAAAACGGCTAGTAATTGCGCACAATAAGCAGCACACTGAATTGCAAATGTTTGCAGGACATGTTTGCAGCTGGGACAGCTACCACTGCGACAGTACTAGAGTGGGGAATGTCTGAGTTGATAAAGAACCGATCAGCAATGAAAAAAGCCCAAGACGAAGTACGAGGGATAGCTAAAAGCAATAACAAAAGCATGATAGAAGAGAAAGAATTGCAACAGCTCCATTACCTGAAAGTAGTGGTGAAAGAGATCTTGCGATTGCACCCTCCAGCTCCATTGTTGATTCCTCATGAATCGATCGAGGATTGCGACATAGAAGGCTACTTTGTCCCTTCAAAGACCACAGTTTTGGTGAATGTTTGGGCAATTGGGAGGCACCCAGACTCGTGGGTAGATCCAGAAGAGTTTAGACCTGAAAGGTTTATAGGTAGTAATATTGACTACAAGGGCCAAGATTTTGCGCTGATACCATTTGGGGCAGGGCGAAGGGGATGCCCTGGAATTTCCTTTGCAATGGCTATTTTAGAGCTTGCATTGGCCAATCTCTTGCTTTGCTTTGATTGGGCAATGCCTGATGGAATGAATAATGAGGACCTAGACATGACAGAAGGTTCAGGGCTCTCTGCGCTCAAGAAAACTCCCTTGCTGCTAGTGGCAACTCGACAAGCACTTGATAGTAACAGTAATGGCGATTGGTAACGATTTTTGTGTTCTTTTCCAACTCTTTAGTATTGCTAATTTTCCCTCTGCTCCTGTTTGGTTCTCTGAGAATGTGACATGTGGGGAAATGTGTATTGAGGAATGCGTATCTCCTAGAATTAGCATTTCTTAAAAGATTGGTATACGTTGTTTGGATGGTATCTGGCATAAACTTGGAAGATGAATCTTCATCGTTTGGATTGCTTGGCAGTTTAATCTTCAGGAAATTCAAAAATTTTTATTTATCTTTATTTTTTAAAAATAATCATTCTCAATCTTGCTATTACTGTAGTTAACAACCATTTAGGTCCTTTTTAGTGTATATCCAATTGAGGAAAAAATGGCGAGATTTCAATATAATATCCATTTTTGCAAAGGTGAGAATCTTTCATTCCAACATTCAATCTCATGAAACATGTGCATTCAAATGTCAACATCTTAATTATATTAATTAAATACTAATATAATATTATTTTATTATTATAATAATATTTTAGAAAAGTATATAATGAGACTATTTATCTTTGGTACAAGATGGTCATAGTTAATCTTGACCATTAGATTTGAAATTGGATGGTTGTATCTATTCCATTAACCAAGCTCAAACTTCAAAAGAAATTTTCTTGAATTTTGTGACACACCGAAGCAATCAACTTTTACATCAGATGGTTGCAAGTAATTGTGATGTCCGTGTATTAAACGTAAATGGTCTCATTGTGTACACTCCCTAATATTATTATAATAACAATATGATATTATAATAATATTATTAAAATATAATAGTATCATTATTATAATAATTATTGTAATTATAATTCGAAAAAATATCTCTATAGTCCCCATTTTGAATTTTCATTTCTCCATTGACTTAAAGTTGTAAAACCTATCTTACGACATAAAAATTCACTCTATAATATCTCCTAACCCCCTGAACATATTTTATTCATTTTTTACTAATGTTTTTTACCCAAACAAATTTAAAAAAGAGATTGTTTTTTAAACCCCTATCTCTGCTCACATGATACCTTTCTCTCTCCCCCGATCAAACTACACTACGCCGGTCACCTGCTCGCCGAAAAACTACAAGAGGCGATGATGGGCTCCTGGAAATGCCATTGGTTTCGATCTCTTGAGCCATTGTCTTAGCCGACTTAGTCAAAGAAAGAACTGCCTCTAATTCGTTCCAAAAACCCATGTCTCCAATTATATCTTCAACTTCTCTGGCAAGAGGATTCTGTGAGCGAAGAAGCTTAAAGGAGTCGTCCATTACAGCAAGTTGCAAAGCTCGAACAGTGGCAATGATGTCCTCTACAGTGGGGAAAATCAGAGGGAAGTTTTTGCCAAAAAATGCTTCAGAAAAATGGTTTTCTCACAAGATTCTGATCAGCCCCATCGTATCATGCTCCTGCAACTGCAACTTCTCAAACCAAGCTCTCAATTGAGCTCTCAAATTAAAGAAATTTACGATTTTTAGGCAATTCACAGCTACTTTCCGAAACAAAGGTAGTTGTTTGCCGAAATCCTTGATCAAGCTATTGAACCCTTGGAATTGGCAAGAAAGGTTCACCATCCAATGGTTTTCAGACTCCAAATTCCTCAAAGCCTTGGCTTTGAACCTATCGGTGACTATACCAACACATCTCTGAACAACTCCACCATTAAATTGCATATACACTGTCCCAAAGTGTTTTCTCTGCAAAATTTGAAGGAACAGAGCAGTAGTGAAAACTGCCTTTCTAAAAAGAATGGTTCCATTAGGGAGGTTAACTGGTAAACGAGGTTTCTCTTTCTAGAGTGGTGAGAAGAGGTAGCAGTTGGGGCAGAGAGAGAGCGGATGGTGAAATGGGGCAAATGATGGGGAAGCTAGAGAGAGGTTTTAGGAGATTTGCAGTGAAATTGGGGCAAGTTCCTCGCTTTAGGTGCTTGGAAACTGTTCTCGAAGGGTTGGAAGCAGAGAAGAGAGAGTTTGGGCACACCAGTGTCCTGGTTTGAACCAGGATGGGCTCGAGATGAGCCCAATACCAAGTTCCCTTGCCTTTAATGGCCTTCGAGTGTACAATCGTCGAGCCTTCAAAGTGCTTGAGCACTCCTTTTGCAGAGACATCGTCTTCGAAACCAGGGGTGCTCGCCATAAGAGAGAAAGCTCGTTTCTCACTCCTCGAAGGCACTCTCTATCACATCTGGGGACACAGCTCGAGCCCCAAGGTCACCAGGAGCATTGTTCAACGTGTCTTTTAAATTTGCGTTTTGAACTAGAGAAGGAAGTTACCAGTGAGGAGTCACATAAGGTTGTTTTTACCTTACCTGGGGATAAAGCACCGGGACCTAATGGTTTTCCTCTGGCATTCTTCCATAAATTTTGGCCGTTGGTTAAAAATGAAGTGCTTCAATTGGTGAAAAGTTTTATGATTAGGAGTCAAATTTTCAAAGGTATTAATTCTACCTTTGTAGCATTGATTCCTAAGAAAGGGTTGATTTCTAGTCTTGCTGATATTAGACCCATAAGTTTGCTGACAAGCCTGTATAAGATCATTGCTAAGGTTTTGGCAGAGAGGCTGAAGTTGGTGCTGCCTACTCTTATCTCTAATGCCCAATCTGCCTTTATTAAGGATCGTCAAATCACGGACAATGTTTTGCTAGCTCAAGAATGCATCCATTCAAGAGTTATTAGTAAGAAGTCGTGTATTCTTTTTAAGTTAGATATGGAAACGCCTACAATAGGGTAGAGTGGAGGATCCTTTTGAAAATTATGAGTGTTATGGGCTTTGGCGAGAGCTGGAGATCTTGGATTTTTGGATGCTTATCATCAGCTCATTTCTCTGTTCTGTACAAAGGTAGTCCCGTAGGCTTCTTCAATGCCTCTAGGGAGCTGCGGTAAGGAGATCCCTTGTCTCCTTTCCTCTATACAATTTATGCTGAATGCTTTAGTTTAATGTTAAATAGAATGGAGAATGAAGGCTATTACACTGGGTTTGGGATTGCTAACTCTGATATCCAAATCTCTCATCTTCAATATGCAAATGATACCCTTATTTTTTTGTTAGGCAGAGGCACTTTAAGTTTATAACGTTGGCAGATTTTTGGATATCTGTGAAGCAATCTTGGGTCTGAGATTTAATTTTCATAAATCTTCCATGGTTGGGACTTGTTGTGAGGATGGGATGATAGAGGAGGTGGCTACTGTTGTGGATTGCAAGGTTAGCTCCTTCCCAGTGACCTATTTGGGTCTTCCTATCTCTGATTCAAGACTTACGATTGCTGTCTGGGATATAGGGCTTGAAAGAGTTAAAAAAAAGTTGGACTTTGGAAGTACAAGTATCTCTCTTTGGGTGGTAGAGTTACTCTTTTGAAATCGTATTTTTTAAATCTCCCTATATATCAGATGTCTTTAATAAATATGTTTGCCTCTGTTGCAAGAAAATTGGAAAAAATGATGCGAGACTTTTTCTGGGGCTCCTATTCCAATGGGAGGAAGTTCCATTTGCTTAGATGGGATAGAGTATATATACTTAAGAAAGATGGTGGGTTGGGATTAAGGAGAATTAGGGTGTTTAACCAAGCACAGTTATGTAAATGGTGGTGGAGCAACTTTAAAACTCAAGAAGCATTTGTGGTATAAAGTTCTTATAGATAAATATGGAGTTGATAGATTACAGGTGTGGTTGGGTAATGGGCACGGAGGAGAGGTTTCACAGGTGTGGTTGGGTAATGGGCATGGAAGAGTGGTTTCACAGGTGTGAAAGTCCATCTTTAGATGTAGGCCTATTGTTTCATGTTATTCTAGATGGAGTGTTGGTTGTGGTACGCAAGTGTCTCTATGGCATCCTAAATGGATAGGGGATTATCCATTGAAAGTGGCCTTTCATGATCTTTTTGGATTGGTAACTCAGCCGACAGTGACCATTCATGAAGCTTTAGAAAGAAGAGGCCTGCAAAGTTCTTGGAATATTGCTCTATCATATGGCACACTAAGTAATCACCTATTATCTTCATGGTGCTCTTTTATGAAAATGCTGGATAACACCTATGTTGTTGTCGATGCTGAGGATGAGATTATATGGGAGATTGAAAGCAATGGTCTTTCTTAAGTGAAATCTTGTTATAATCTATTATTCCAATATAGGATTAGATGGTCTAACTCCAATGTTGATGCTGTTTAGAAATGGCCTATACCACATAAGGTACAGTGCTTCATTTGGCTTGCTTCTCTGAATAGGAATTTAACGGTAGATGACTTGATTAAAAGGGGAAAAATTTTGCCTAATGTTTGTCTTTTGTGCAAAAAAGATAGGGAAATAGTGACACATCTCTTGATCCATTGTTCCTGTACATCCCGTGTATGGTCCTGGCTTTTCTCCACACTTGGGATACTCTTTGTCATGCCCCACTCAGTGCAAGGTATTATTTTTCAGATGTCTTTAAGCCATTTGCAGGTAGGTGGGAAGGTCCTATGGAAGATTTCTAAAGGGGTTTTCCTTTGGGAAATATGGAAGGAGAGGAATAGAAGAACCTTCGATGGGAGTTCATTGTCCTTTGAAAAGCTCATAGCCAAAATTAAGCAATTCATTGGGATATGGCTATCAGTGACTAAGGAAGGTTGGGGTATTTCAATTGTGGATGTTTTGTCTAATCTTCACAATCTATTTTCCCTAGGTATCTCTCGTCCCAGTCCGAAGAGCTTTTGGTTAGCACCTGACTTTGGGAGTGTTAAGCTAAATTTCGATGGAAGTTCCTTTGGAAATCCAGGTAGGGCTTGCATTGGTGGTGTTGTACGTGACTCCACGGGCTATGTTATTCTCTCTTTTGCTGGACTGCTAGGGAATAAAACTGTAAACTTTGCTGAATTGAGTACTTTGTTGCGTGGGTTGAAAGTTTTGTATGAGAGGAACATTACTGGTAATGTCTGGATTGAAGGAGACTCCTTGTATGTGACAAAATGTTGTAAATTGAAACAGAAGGTTTTGTGGGAATTGCGATATTTGTGGTTGCAAATAATGGATCTAGTTGGACCTTCTATTTCATTCAATCATGTCTATCGGGAAGCAAACTCCATTACCGATTCTTTGGCTAAAGGAGGTGCATCGTTACCTTCGCTGTTGATGTGTTTTTATGTAATTTCTTTCACTTAGTCATCAATAATACTTTTGAACATTTGTCCAAAAAAGAGTCTTTTTTAATTTGTTTGGGTTAAAAGTTGGAATAAAAATAGAT